TAATATAATATAATATAATATAATAAAAATTTCATATAAAAAGCCATTAAATTAATTTATACATCTGACATTATAAACCAATTAATAAAAATTTGTTTTAAACAAAACTTTCAATTCAATGTTATCACTAAAAGATTTTTCTTCTACAACGCAAACAAATATAAAAACATAATTACAATTGCACCATACCGCTGTTGATTACGCAGCACAAGAAGAAAATCGAGTTACCTTCATTTAAACTTGCGGCATCGTTTGATTACTGCAATCGAAAGCAACTATAGGCATCAATTTTTAAACACACTCCCTATATCTCTAAGTACTTTCCCAACCGTAGCAAGGGATCGTAGAAACGAGGAACATGCAGGAGGCAAGATTGGCTAGACGATGAAAAAAAAAAAGGAAGAATCAGCGAATGCAAGAGAAGAATAAAGAGGAAGAGAAAGAAGGAGTGGAATCGGAATAGTTGTCAGCTCGTCGGTGATAGCAGTCGGATGCATTATGAAGCCTCGATGTGAATTTTCAGGCCGCGGCTGAATTCGCATTTTCCAACTGAAAAATGATGCGTCGCATCCGTGGATACACCCCCCTAACTCTACCAACTCTATATCTGTTTGTTCTCTATCCACATATGTGTAACGGATATTTACGCTGGCCTCAAGTGTATGCGCGAACGTCTACTTGCATATACGGTCATATTTGCCTGCATCTTCATCCATACCATCTATCCGTGTGCGTGTATATATAGCGTGTTTAGTAGTGTCCGAATATAACCTCGAATTCGTCCGGTTATACGACCATGAGCTTTTCCTCCACTATTCTTCAATATCAATTCTAACGCGATCTTAAAACTGTTCATGACTTAAATAAATTAATAAATAAGTCTCAATCGTTTTTTATATATATCAACTCTGTTTGTTTTAGTTCTAGATTCCTCTAGATTCCCCAAAAATATCTCCACGAATATTAAAAGCTTGTATGTGTACGTTTCCGATATACGACGATTACGAGTGGCCACGATCAGTTCCGATCTGTTCCGATCAATTCCGAACGTTGACCACATGTCCAAACGTTACTAGATATAGTCGAAAGATAGGAGACCAGTGTGTATGCGTAAATATAAGTGATTTCGTTCAAACACGAACGTACTCGAATCCATCGACGTCATACGAGACAGGAATTAGCGTCGATTGCGAGCCAACCCCGAGGGAAACAGACTGAGAGCGAGACGATCGAAATGGAAAGAATAGCGAAGATGTGAGGGAAAAAATAGAAAAAAGAGAAGAGAGTGGTGTTGAGAGAACAAGCAGACAGAGAGGAAAAGAGTAAGAAGTCTATTCGCGCTTACTTCATTAATGAAGGCAAGGGCATCGCGGTTGAAAGAGATTGGAAGG